GTGAATCAGGGATTTCACGCAGAGGGACCCTGATCGATCTGCGTCCCTCAAAGTGAATCTGAGGGTCTGCTCATAAGGGTTTCGAAAATGGCTACACTTCTAATCGTGAGTAGCCAAAATCCAAAGATATGGTAGGCCCTGGCTCGAACTATGTGGTGATTTGAGATTCATCCTAAGCTTTTCTTTGCTTCTTCTCTTGACTGGTCTTGTGACCATTTGTTCTTGCTATCCCCTCCTTCACCTATGGGGGTGTGTCAAACTATATAAAGTTTAACAATCACAAGACCCCACACCACTTTTTCTTGTACTCTTCTTAAGGCCCTAGGGTCTTAGGGCGTATTCCTACGGCCTCCTATCAAGAAACCTCCTATCAAGATTGTACCTTTTGCCTGGTAAAAGTAGCGAGAGGTTTCGGGTCTAGGGGATTTTGTCAAGATAGGTAGTAGAAAGTTTAGAGGCAGAAAGAGAGGTTGCACTAGCAAGCAGTTGAGTACATATAGGAACCCTAGATTGGGCTGTACTCGCTATAGAGTACCCCACTGCAGGCTAGACAAATACAACATTCTGACACACCCCCATAGTCAAAGTGGGGTATAATCAGCAGAGCAAGCAGTCATAGAGCAGATTCACAAGTGCATGCAAAGCTAGAGGCATTCACAAAGGGCAAGTGAGGAGGAGGAGGCGAGACTGTAGGTGGAGAGGAGATAAGAGGCGTCGGCTGAAGCTGCAGACACACGGGCAACAGGAGTCAAACTGGCTCAGTGGCTACCGGAACAAGCGCCCCGGACTACAGGAGTAACTGGCTCCGCGGCTAAGAAGAGCGGCAGACGAGCAACGGACCCACGGGCGACTGGCGCAGCTGGCTACGACTGGGCTACCGGAACAAGCGCCCCGGACTACAGGTGCTGCTGACGACAAGACGGCAGCCTCCGCTCAACCTCCCCCGACTGTCCCACGCCCTTCTCACACACCCCCTGCTGAAACCCTAGCTCCACATCCACGGCACCCCCCTTAAACCCTAAACCTCGGCTCCCACACACCACCCCCCTCAGCGGCAGCTGTAGCAGAGGGAGACGAGGGAGGAGGAGGAGCAGGGGGAGGAACTCACAACCGACACCCCCATAGCCGCCACCCCCACACTCTTCACCCCCAAACCCTAATTCAGGAGAACGGGCTGTAGGAGGGGTGAGGCGCCGGTAGAAGCACGGGGGACAGTGGAGAGGGCAGGAGCAGCGAGGAACGGGCCGCCCACGGGCCTGGTAGAGCCGCCCGAACCGCGCGCAGGCGGCCCGAGCCGCGCGCGGGCCTGGCGCTTCCCGTACGGGCCGCGCGCGTGCCTGGCGCAGCCCGTACGGGCCGCGCGCGGGCCTGGCGCAGCCCGTACGGGCCGCGCGCGGGCCTGGCGCAGCCCGTACGGGCCGCGCGCAGGCCTGGCGCAGCCCGTACGGGCCGCGTGCCGGGTGTACGGGCCGCGCGCAGGCCACGACGGGCGACGGGGGGCGACGCGCGGGTCCCCGTCGCCCGTCGCAGCTCCTCCCGGGGGCGACGTGCCGAGTGACGGGGCAGGAACCCGCCGCGCGCCTCGGGGCACACGGCGGGCAGAGAACCGCCGCGCGCCTCGGGGCGCACGGCGGGCAGAAAACCGCCGCGTGCCTCGGGGCGCACGGCGGGCTGAAAACCCTAGTTTCGACGCCGCGCGCCACGGGGCGCGCGGCGGACAGGGAGTAGCAGTAGCAGTAGCAGTAGCAGCGGAAGGCTTAGGTGGTGGGCCCACCCACAGGATCGACCCAGGAGGGTCAACCTGCTCTGATACCATGTCAAGATAGGTAGTAGAAAGTTTAGAGGCAGAAAGAGAGGTTGCACTAGCAAGCAGTTGAGTACATATAGGAACCCTAGATTGGGCTGTACTCGCTATAGAGTACCCCACTGCAGGCTAGACAAATACAACATTCTGACAGATTTTTCAGTGTGAGCTTGATAAGAGGTTTTCTTGATAGGAGGATAGGAATACGCCCTTATATCCAAGTGATACGGCAATTCTTGTTGAGGAATTGCAAAGCTTAGTGGCAGTACTATGTTATGCTATCGTCACCTGCTGATTTTGAGAATGCAAATGCAAGGCGACAATGTTATAAAAAGCTACACTTGTTGAATAGATTGTAACAGGAAGCACTCCACTAATGCATACTCAACTGTACAAGCACTCTACATACAAGGGTACGAACAATCTCAAGCAGTAGCTTTCTTGGGTACCTACCGCAACACATGGCTTCACAAACATGGCCCTCGGCACTCCATCTGCCCATCTGCTCCCTGCATTCCTCCCTGCTGCTCCATGCAAGCAGCATCCCTTGCACTGGCACTGGCACGGGGTCAGTCAAACCCCCCTGTGGCATGACAAGACACCACTCCAGTCGCAGGGGGGCAGTGAAGAGGTGGGGTCTGCACTTCAAAGAGACACGCATGTAAAACCTGCAAGCAACTATGTGCAACACAACGACACATCCAAGCCTAGTGTGTGGGGGGGAGAAGGGGGAGAAAGGGGCGGGCGTGGGTGAAGAAGGGGGAGGTAGTGGGTGGGGAAGTGGAGGTGGTGGGTAGGAGCGCTGGAAAAGAGGATGGGGCTGCAATCGAGCGGCATGGTGTCGAGCGGGAAGTAAGGGCACTTGAAGGGGGTGCAGGGTGGTCAAGGGAGCAGGGTTGAAGCACCCTAAAACTGGATGGGGCGGCAGTCAAGCGGCGTGGTTTCCAGCGGGCAGTAGGGGCACTTAAAGGGGCGAGTAGCTCCTTTAGCAAGCTTCAGCACGGATGCACGGCACACAACGTGGCCGCACGGCAGCAGCACGGGCGGGTTGTCGGGGTAGGAGGCGGGTTCACGGGAGACAGGGCAGGCGAAGATGGAGTGGAAGTGGAAGGCGCGTGGCAGCTCGATCTCCACTGGCAGCTGCTCCATGCCCTGCCAGTCCCGCCCTGCCCTCCTGCTGCTACCCGTGCCACCACCACCAGCACCAGCAGCTGCAGCAGAAGTGCCAGGCGTGGTGATATTGCTGGCAGCAGCGGCAGCAGTGGTGGAGCTTCCGCCTGCCCGGCTGCTCCCTCCCCCGCTGCCGATGCCGCTGCTGTGGTTCAGCAGGGCGGCAAGCTTTGTCAGCATTGGGAGGGCCTCGCCGCCCGCAGCCACCACGACAGCCAATGGGCTTTCGGCGGATTCGAGGCACTCCACGGCGCAGTAGTCTGCGGTGAACCGCGCGGCGATCTGATCCCAGTGGGCGGCAGTGAGTGGCAGGAGGTCGGCATATGGGGACAGATTCAGCCGCCCAACCCACAGGAGAGCGCACATGAGGCGCTGGATGTCGGGGAGATGGGTGGCGGCGAACGGCGGGAAATGCTGACGCGCGTACAGGAGGGCTGGTGAGCTGGCGGGTCGTGATTGGCTGCTGCTGTCATCACTGGCAGGATCAGACATTGAAAACGAGCCTTCCTTCTGCTGCTGCTGTTGCTTCCATATAAGCTGTTTCTGCTGCTCCTGTAGAAGATTCAAAAACTGCAGTCGGTGAATTTCAAACTCCAGGGAGCTTGTCTTCAGCCCTCCAACCACCGCCTTCCCTCCCCCTTCCCCCCCTCCCACCTTCACGTCGGGAAACCCCCCAGCAACTTCCCGCTGTAGCTCCTCCCGATGCTGCGCCGCCCAAGCCAGCGCCGGACCTAGGTCCTTGGCTCGGATGGCATGCAGAATGGCGTGCATGGCGCCGTACCTGCGCCGGTGCTCCTGCAGGCTCACTCCCTCGCCCACTCCCCCCACTCCGCCCTTCCCCTTCCCCCCTGCCACTGCTGCTGCGCCCCCCTGCGCGCCTACCACTCCCCCATCCTTTCCCCTCGCCTCTCCCCCCGCCCTGGCACCCGCGCCCTCTCCCCCAGCTCCCCCTCCCCCAGCGCTCCCTCCCCCAGCGCCCCCTCCCCCAGCGCCCCCTCCCCCCGCGCTACTACCAGAGGCCATCCTTCTCCGCGCTGACCATGACAGGCGCGCCATTCCGCCCCGCCCAGCCACGCCCTCCCCCCACAGCCCCCCGCCCCTCTCCCCCGCAACCCCCCCCACACTGCCGCTCCCCGCCCCGCCGCTGCTCCCCCTTTCTAAGTCCGCCTCCGCCCCTGCGCCCTCCCCCACCTCCATCCGCTCGTGCCCCTTCCCCTCCTCCTCCATCGCCTCCCCCTCCTCCCCACCCTCCTCCCCGTCCCGCACCTCCCCTTTCTCCGCTTCCTCCCCTTCCGCCCCCCCCCCCGCGTCCCCCAGCCCTGCCTCCGCCACGAGCGCGTCCCCCACGGCGAACAGCCCTTGGCGGAACAGATGCTTCGCGATCTCGCGGTTCACTATAACGGGGTCGAACTGTACGGCCTCTCTATAAGCACCTCCGATATCAGCAACGAACGTGCCCTTCTCTTTCTCCCGCTCCACCGCCTTGCTCAGCCGCGCCACGGCCCCGTGCAGTTCCTTATGCAGCGCTGCCATCTCCTTTTCCGGACCTAGGCCGCCGAGCCTGGACAGAAGGCTCGACACGGCGGCTCGGCAGCCAGGGTTGCTGTCGAGAGTAGCACTGGGGAGGCTAGGCTTGGAGACGCCCGCTGCCACGTCAGCACTCGCATCACTCACAATTTCCCCCTTTTTCCCGCGCTCCGCCAATCCCGCCGCGCGTTCCGCCGCTTCCGCCTGCAGCTCCGCCTGAAGCGCCGCCTGTGTCTGCTCCAGCGCCTGCTGAACCTTGTCGAGCAGCGCGAGCTCTTTAGCGCGTACGGCGCCGTGCCTCTTAACGAGGCGCGCGAGGGCGTCCTCGATAGTGCTGACGTCCATCATGACGTCAGACAACAGACGACGCACGAGAGGCAAAGCTGACTGGCGACAGGTGGCAGGCAAAGGCGAAATTGTGAGAGAGCGAGTCGATATACTGTCGACACGCGACGATGGACGCTTCGTGCGCAGAACGGCAGCCAATAGGCGATCGACGATGGCGGCTTACGAGCACGGGGCGGACCACGTTACGGTTGTGAGAAGTGACGACAGCTCGGGCTGCTTCCATCATCCTAGCGATTCCAGTGTTTGTGTCAAGAGGAGGGTGATTGCGGATCGTGCTAGCTTGATTATCCGATTTACTGTACTTATGTGATGTCAAATTGATTCACAAATCAGCTGATTCCCATACTTTAAAATCGGGGTCCTCAATATCGAGCACGTGCATTGTAAACTTGCGGTCCAACACGGTGTGGTTTGCGCTTTCTTGCGGCGTTTTCCCAAACCATTTGGCATCGCAGTCCCGAATCGCGCGACCAACTTGCGAGTCTATGCGCATCCTTTAGCGTGACGCGCATGTAGGTAGTCGTTACTGTTACAGTCGCGCAGCCCGTCGCATCGGCCGTCGCAGAGCCAATCGCAGCTTCGGACATCTCGGCTGTCACAGCAAAAATCTCGAGTCGCAGGCCATGGACCGCAAGTTCGAGTTCCGGATAAAGGCGCTCGCGGTGGTGGCGACGGCAGCGGCGGGAGTGCTGACGCTGTACGCCGATTACGGCGACCTTGGCGGCAAGAAGACTGTCCTAGATGATGTGAGTCGCGCTCCGGTCGTCCACTCGTCCTGGTTTTTCGGCGAATCCATAACGCACGCTTCGCAGAGAGGGTTTCTTTCGGAGGGGAGGCTCCGCAGTCCCCCTACTAGCGGGGTGATGTGGCGTCCGGAGACATAGTGACCATGGCGGTCGTCGTTGCGGATGCTGGTTGAGGCTCCTTGCACGCCGCGTCAGCAAGGGCAGTGATTTGCTGAGATGAATGAGGCATCTCTTGTGCCATGGCATGGGGACTTGGCGTTCACAGGATTCCCTGTTGTTGCCATGGCTGCCACTCAATCGTCTGCTCGAGACTCAGTGCCTCCCGTGGCACGGCAGGTACGGAGGCCGCTGGCTTAGCACCTGCCGTTGGCTTGGTTACTCCGTGGTGAACAGTAGGGCCTGTTATGGCAGGCAAGCGGGAGGCGTGAAAGGGCGAGGGACAAGGGACAAGGGACAAGGGACAAGGGACAAGGGCAGTGGAGGTGACGGAGAAGCACGGGTGGTGAGAAGCACAGGTGACACCAACTGTCGCCGCTGCATGCTCGTCTCCTCGTCTGCTCTCTCGCCCCCACCTAAACCTCTGCTTTGCCAGAGAGTGGTCGTTGAGGGGCGCCTCTAAGGCCTCACCTTGACGCCTCAAAACTTGTCACCTCAACCATCTTACCACGACAGCAATTTTTGTGCTGCTTTTAAATCCTCTTCTTGACCCCCAAATCCTCGCCCCACTGTTCCTGTCCCTCCCCCCCCCCCCCCTTCCACCCTCCCTGTCATCCCCTCTGGCAGGTGGATGGGTCGTCGCAAATGGGGAGGCATATTGTACGCTGAGAGTGGAAGAGGAGAGAAGTTTTTTTTTTTGGAACGACCAAGCATGGCATGTTGTGACCACGTTGGTGTTTCATGGCACCTGGATGGACAAGGAGGAAAACATTTATTTTAGTGTGAGGGACCACGCAATCCATTGTATGCTGTTGCCGCTTTCCTCCCACCACCCCCTTTCCCTTCTTCTCCCTCCCCTCCTCCCCTCACCCTCCGTTCCACTCATCCTCCCATCCGCTGTGGCAGGTGAGGGGAGCATCAGAGCGGGTGAAGCGGTGGTTTTTGAGACCAAGCCAGGAGGAGGAGGAGGAGATTCGGAGGAGACTGGGGAGGGAGGAGAGGAAGTAGTAGCGATTGCCAATTGTCCTACCTGTATTATGTTTACACGGTGTTGAGTTGAGACTACACACGGCACCACTTATCAAGCAACTCAAGTACCGTAGCTATCGGCTTCCTCTGAGCGTGCCATACGTAGCACAACCAAGTGCGGAGCCACTCACACAAGTCACACGGCCCTGACACAGTTGTGACCCCTGTACATACGCTATCCTTGTGGCCTGGGCCTGACACACCGTGACACGACACCATGATGTTCATTTCACTGCCTGTGGTTGTCCAGCGGTACAGACTCAATGCCCCTGTTCTTCTTACCAGACAAGGCTAACTATTCACACATAGAGGCCTGTCACAATTGTAGGGTTGCTGCTGCATATTGGACACCTCAGCAGCAGCATTCTGTAGATTATTATTAAATCCCAATACATATTTGTTGTTCATCAGGAAGACGACGCGATGCCAGACCTTGATTTTGTCCCAAATGCTGCTCGGTGAAACATTGCTGTACAGCTTTGAAACAGCCCAAAGCGCATGGTTACACGGCACACAGCAGTGAGTGGCGTCGCACACCACCACATGCGCCATCACATGCGCCTGCTTCCCTACCTGCTGTGGTGTGACCTATCCTTAGCTGCCAGGCAATACTGGAGTGGCTTCGCGTGTGCAGCGGAGCGGTTGGAAGGAGTGGTGTGAGTCAGTGGTGGTACTTCTCGCCCTTGAGAATGGTCCACGCCCTGCCAGCACACCACGGGACGTGGGGAAGTGTGATGAGCATCAAGGCACATGGTGCTGTTGGCTCTTTATCACATACACACACACTCAACCCCCCTCCTTCTCCACCCCTCCCCCACACACACACCCCACGCACCCCCTCTCCCCGCACCCCCTCTCCACGCCCCCCCTCTCCACGCCCCCCCTCTCCACGCCCCCCCTCTCCACGCCCCCCCTCTCCACGCCCCCCATTTGCTGCAGTCACCGGTACAGCTGCTCTGCCAGCACCACTAGCGCCACCTCATGGTTGAGAACAAGCGTTGAGAGGCGCACACTGCTGTTAAGTCTGTCCATCTCCCCTTCCCCACCCCTGCCCCTCACACATACCACCAATACCCTCCACTCGCCATCCTCACCGGTACAGCTGCTCTGCCAGCACCACGAGCGCCACCTCACGGTTGAGCACGAGAGAGGAGAGGCGAATGCTGCTGTTGGCCCGAGCTGCCTCACACACCCCCCACACGCACGCACCCAACTCCCAGTCCCACAACCCCCCTCCTCCCTGCCCCCGACCCCCTTCTCACCGGTACAGCTGCTCTGCCAGCACCACGAGTGCCACCTCGTGGTTGAGCACGAGTGAGGAGAGGCGAATGCTGCTGTTGGCCCGAGCTGTCACCTGTGACCCGTGGCCGTAGGGGCCCCCCACCACGAATGTCAGCGAGCGGTGCGACTGATGGGGCACAGGCGGGGCGGGAAGGGTAGGAGGGGCGGCAGGGAGGGATGAGGGCGAAGGGCGGCATGAGCTGCTGGGCACCTGTGACTCGTGGACGCCCCACCACGAATGTCAGCGCGCAGTGGGGCAACAGAGGGAGGGAGGGGCGGACGGAGTCAAAGGAACAAGGGCAGTAAAGCATGGTGGGGTGGGGGGTTTGCAGTGCACTTGATGCACTGTGGGTGGTGCATCGGTGCACGCATGGGTATGGGGGGGCCGGGTATGGTTGGATGCATGGATGCATGAATGAACAGGCATCCATGAGTCGTGACATGTACCTTCACACCACACCACATCACACCACACCGCGCCACATCTCACCGCATCAGCGCAGTCAGCAATGAGCTGCGCGAGCTGCTCTGATGTCACTGTGCGGCCCCTCTCGTCCAGCACCACCACCTGGCGGGGCGGGGGATGAGGAGCACCGCCAGGACGGGGGAAGGGGGGCGTGGCTGATGCTACAGGTACACACACTTTGGGTCATTCGAATCAAGCATTGAGGTTCATGGGTGTGATGTCACTGTGCGTGCGGCCTCGCTCGTCCAGCAGCACCACCTAAAAGGGAGAGGGGTGGTGAGCAGGAGGGGGTGGCGGAGCAGGATGAGTTCAACACCAGAAGCGGAAGCGGGGGAGAGGGCCGGGCGGTACACTCAGGGTGAAAAAAAAGGGCCTTTTTAAAAAATAAAAACAGTAAAAAACGGGATCGTAAAATTGGTCGTTAAAAAAGGTTTCAGGAGGTGTTTTCTGTCTGACGGTATCATAAATGTGGGGTGAACGGAGCAGCTCATTGATGCGCGAGCTGCAGATGTGGGGTGAAGGTGAACGGGGCTCACCCAGTCTGCGGGGTGTAGTGCCTTGAGCACCCTGTCGCCCTCTGCTTCCACCTGCACTCGCACGTCACTGCCTACCAGCAGCAACAGCAGCAGCAGCAGCGGTGGGAGAAGAGAAGCAAATAGAATAGCGTCATTAACGAAGGTATTAAACAAGGGAGACCGCTAACACGGCGTAAGAAGGCATCCAGGATCACTTTCTGGCATGCATGTAAGGTGGCGTCGAGCAGCACTTTCTGACTTTCACCTGCCCCTACTAACACCACGCCTCCTACCTGGTGCCCTTGGGATTGGAGCGCACGGGCAGGTCCTCAAACGGGCAGTAGCGGGAGATCTTTTCGGCGTAGTCTTTTACTAGCAGCTGTGTGCCGGCTGAGCGGCTCTTGCCCACTGATATCACACGCACTGGCAGCCGTCGCTGGGAGGGGCGGATGTCATGGGAGAGGGAAGAGGCGGAGCTGAGGAGCGAGGCAGAGGCGAGAGGGTGGTGGAGAGATCACACGTAGCTGTGTTCCGTGCGATGCGAGCCATGCCTGCCCACTGATATCGCATCACCCGCACAGGCAGGCAGGCGGCGCTGTGAGCTAAAGAGCGGGCAGAGGGCAGAGGGGAGAGGGTGGAGGGGATCTCACAAGCAGCTGTGTGCCCTGTGAGTGACGCCTGCTCACCAATACCACACACACTGGCAGACAGCGCTGGGAGGGAAGGTGACCTGGGAGTGGAGAGGGGGTTGAATGTGCAGGGGGAAAGAGAGTAGAGTGGTGCTGACCCTCCGATACCATGCGCTCTGGCAGGCGGCGCTGCGGGGGGAGGATGAAACGGACGAGGGCGGGGAACAGGGGAAATGCGAGAGGGAAAAGGGGAAGAGGGAAGAGGTGAATTGGAAGAAGGGAGAGGGAAGAGGGAAGAGGGATGAGGGGAGAGTGGAGCAGGGAGAGTGGAGAGGGGAGAGGGGAGAAGGGCGAGAAGAGGGGGGAGAGAGGAGAGGGGCGAGAAGAGATGGGAGAGGGGAGAGGGAAGAGGGGAGAGTGGAAAAGGGAGTGTGGAGAAGGGAGAGGGGAGAAGACAGGTCAAGACCAGCTGTGTGCTGTGTCAGCCCACCAATACCTCGCGCACTGGCGGCCGGCACTGGGAGGAGCGGGGGAGAAGGGGAGAGGGGAGGTAGGGAGAGGACGGGGGACATGTCACGAGCAGCTGTGTGCCTGGCGAACGCTGCCTGCCCACCGATATCACATGCACAGGCAGGCGGCACTGGACAGGGGAAAAGAAGGGGGGAGCGCAACAGGGAAGGGGAGCGGGGGAGGGGAGGAGGGCCGGGTCACACACAGCTGTGAGAATGGCAGCAATGGGAAAGGGGGGAGGGGGGGGGTGTGGGGTGGAGGAGCGGAGCAGAGCAGGTGCGCGTGGCGTGGCAGGGAGGCTTGCATGGCAGGGAGGGAGGCTTGCATGGCAGGGAGGGAGGCTTGCATGGCAGGGAGGCTTGCATGGGACGACTGGCGGGCGGACGAGAGGGCACGGCGCGGGATAAGGAGCAGCCGGGCGGTGAGGATGGGGCGGTTAAGGGAAGGAGGGGGGCAGTGGACGAGGAGCGAGGAGGGGAGGAGGAGGGAGGAGGGAATGAAGGCGAGCGCGATGGGAAGTGGGTGCTTGTGTGATGGAATGGAATGGGAGACGTGGAAAGGGAATGAAGGGAGAATGCGTGGAAGGATGAGGAGGAGGTGAGCCAAGAGGAGCGGCGAGGGAGGAGGAAAGGACAAATCATCCCCGCCACCCAATCAACAAACAACATTTCGCGTCAGAGCCTCGTCAGGATTTTCATTTCCTAAGCCACATCGCCACCACGGCTGCCGCATGGGAAGAGCCGCGCGGCGGCGACACGGCGGGAGAGAGCGTCGGCAATCTCTATGGCCTGAGCTACAGCGACTCACGATGGCCAGGCGGCATCGTATTGGCGCGAGCACGCGCGCCGTCGATCTGAGAGGCGCTACAGCCCATGACGTCGGCGGCGACGGCGATAGCGACGATAGCGACGATAGCGACGATAACGACAATGGCGACGACGGTGTCGTCGGCACGCGTGGCACAACTTGCGGCGGCGGCCGTCGCAAGGACTGCTGTGTAGGCGCCGCTGCTAGGCGCCGCAATTCGATCGCTCGCAGGGTGGGTGCTGGTTCTTGGGTTTCGCACACGGTGCACGAGGTGCGATCTGCGACACCTCTGACGGGCGGCAGTCGCACAGCCATTGTTGTTGTGGTGGATAGTCTGCTTCTCTGAGTTGTGGGTAAGGGCTGAACAAAGTGTCCGATTCTATAAACAGCACTGAAGTTTCTTGTGCTGAGGATGAGAGAGCAAGGTCCCACGAGCAAGGTTGCGCGACTATTTCTTCGTTTCACTATGCGACTATTTCGTGCACCAGTACTGTACCCCTACCCTCTGGGCGTGTCCCAGCTCGGGTCAGAGTACTGTACATGTCATCCGAAATTCTTGGATGACCAATAGGGTGCATTTCAGATACACTACTCAAATACCATTCGTCTTCCAAGAAACTCGGATGACCCCAACCGATTCTTGACCTGAACTAGGACACGCCCTGAGCTGCAGCACTTCTGGTTGTATCGGTGATACTCTTTAGCGCATATGAAGCGAGAGATTTTTCAAGTTCTTGAAAATTTCTCCAATAAGAAATTATGAATCTAGATTACGAACCCGTGACGCAATTCATTATCGCGAAGAGCACAGCCTAGACTACGATACACCTACTTGAAGCCTTGATGTAACCTAAAGCAACGCGTTCGCTTCAGAGACTCTTCTCGCAGCGGTTGCACATGGCCAAGGCCGGTGCCGCGTTCATCGCAGGATATAACAACCACGACCCCTATAACAAAGGGAAACTTGAATAATCGTGTGTTGATGAAAATCCTCCTTGACTATTATGTATAAAATCAAGATACGAGGCTTCCAATGTTTAACCAACCCCACTAAGAAATAATATAGCCTTGATAACACTCTTGAAATTTGAGAGGAGAAGGAGAACTTGAAGAGTTGATGAAGCTTAAGCAAGGAAGAAGCTTCTTGTAGAACATGTCTTTAAAGAACCACAACCTAGTTGTATAATAGAGTTTGTTAGAGAGAGTCAAAGACTTAGGGTACATTCATGTGTCGACATTTATGTCTCAATCCATGTTTTCCCGACTCGCGTCGAAACATTTTGGGGATCTCGCGTCACAAAAAATCGATGTATCACGAAACTAGGCGACCATGCGAAATGCACAGTTGGGCGCAATTGATTGGGTGACAAACATTACTGTACAACCGATTCTTCAATCGCGCGGCTGAGGTGTGGTCCCGACACGCGGGATTCTTTCCCGTGCAAAATTGGCATTTCGGGAAGATCAGGTGCATTGATATTTCGAACCGCATGCAATTTTTAAAAAATGACGAGTCGGTTTTCAATTCGTTAGCGACGTCAGCGCGTTTCACGCTGACCAATAAAATATACAGAATTGGTCCCTAGAATGCGACTCGCGTTTGAGACATGGTACGTCTTATGCCGTTTTTACGCGTCACAAACGCTTTGAGACACAAATGTCGACACAGGAATGTACCCTTAGAGAAAATCATATTTTTAAAGTAGATTGTTGGAGTTGGGAAGTGGGGAATTAGCTAACAAGATCTAACCCTTCCATAATACCCCTTGGAAGCTCCATGGTTGGGAAGTGTCAAACATTATATGTTTATATGATTGTAGGCTGTAGTGGGTTACACCTTAGGGGGTACACTAGATTAGGGTTTCCTACTTGTATCCAACTTTGTGCTAGTACAGTCATTCCTCGTTCAGTTCTTCTGACAGGAAGCTTATAGGCTTGGAGCCTAGGTGGCATCTTTGTTTGGTTAGGAAAACCCAACTTAATTGCATCGTATGGTTGCTTGGTTCTTTTAATAGATTCTCACAACCGGCAGATTGTGATTGGTTGAAAACCCAACCATCCAATTTTCATTTTGATGGATTGGATGTTTTTTAGCCTCAATGTTGAGGGTTGGAAATGCCACACCAATCTTTCACTCTAACCCAACCTTCCCAACCCGACCAACATAACTCCCGTAGTCTCATTTCCTTGTCGAGTCTCTTCTCGATATTGACTAAGAAGGTTGGTTAGTTGGCTAGTTAGGTCTCCCCCTCCCCCCCCCCCCCCCCCCCCCCCCCCCCCCCCCCCCCCCCCCCAAGGTGCGCTTTGCCAACTCAGCATCAGCAGGTGAAAATTACAACACGTGCTTAGTTGGTAATTTTTACCTACCTAAAAGTAGTTGTATTAGTTGTTCAGGTTGTTTTAAACAACTTCTGTAACGCACGTTTTCGTAGTTACGAAAACGTGCGCCATATTCATTCTATGCAGATGGTTCAGTTTCGCCCCAGATTGAACACCCCAGTTCCGCGCACTGCTCCGCGGGGTCAATTTCTGAATGTCCTGAAATTCCTCCAAAGTGTTCAGAAACGATCGCACTTTCGAGTCGCAAGGGTTCGCCGGTAGAGGACGCGCTCTTCTGCAGAAATTCGCTTCTGCAGATGCGCCCTCCTCTGCAACCCGATTTCTGCAGATGCGCTTTCTTCTGCAGCGGAAACTGCTTCTACAAACTTCAATGCAGGACTCCGCGCCATCCTTTGCAGAATTCCCTCCGGCAGAATTTCTCTCCCCTACAGAAAGCGACGACCACCTTCTGCAGGGTCAGTGCACACTCAACACTCCCCTGCACTGATCATGCTTGGTCATCGCAGAGACAATTGACCCGTCTTCACCACACACCAGAGCAGAACAGAAAGAAAGAAAGAAAACATGAAGAAAAATCAAACACACTAGAATTGCAGAAATATGCCATTCACACACACCATCGCACCAGCTATGAACGAGGTCATGGCACCTATTCTCGTCGCGAGGACCCTCTGCATTGCTCCCCTTCGCCGAAAGCCTTACTTGGCCAACTTTCTCAAAGCAGGTGTTGAACGCAGGGAAATGAAGTGCTTTCGTCAAGTAATCTGCCAGCTGCTCGGTTGTCAGAATGTACTGCAACTTTAGCTTGCGACGTTTCACCATGCTCTGCAACCAGATATAGCGCCGCTCCATGTGTTTCAGCTTTCCTTTCAGCCCCATTCCCTTAGAAACAGAAATCGCAGATTGGTTGTCGACGTGGATAATCGTCGGTGACATCTCGTCGAGCATGCGAAATTCTGCCATCAGAAAACGAAGTTTTCTAGCTTCCTTTTCAGCCTCCACTGCAGCGATGTACTCCGACTCTGTAGAAGAAAGAGTGATGCACCTGATCCTCGGACTTGCCCATGAAATAGCAGCTCCGCCAAGAGTGAAAATGTAGCCATCTGTGCTGCTGCGATTCTGCTTGTCTCCTGCATCGTCTGCATCTGCGAAGCCGACGAGACGCATTTCCCCACTTCCTCCACCGAATTCAAGGGCAGCATCGCGCGTCCCAACAAGGTACGCAATGCTGCGGTCGAGCTCCCTCCAATGCTGGTTCGAACGGTTTGACCAGACTTGAGTTTGCTGCAGGCAAAGGCGAGGTCGGGGCGGGTAGCGCAGGCAGCGAATTGCAGAGAGCCGAATCTCTGCCGGTACTCTTCTTCTATACATGCCTGCATTTTCTCATCGTCGAACGTCAGCACTTTGAAGGCATCGGCTGAGATTGGCGTCTTCGAAACTCGCTGAGGAGGCCCTTCTGGCATAAAACGCCTCTGCACCCTGTCAACATAGCCTCTCTGATGCAGCCAGATCTTCCCCGCTTCCCTGTCTCTGATCAGCTCCAGTCCCAGGTACTTGTTGACAAGGCTGAACTCCCTCAATTTGAAGATTCGAGCAATGCCTTGATCTCCGCTTGATGCTTCTTGCTGCGGATCGCGGCGAGCAGATCGTCGATGTAGACGAGCATCCAGCACATGTCGTGGTTCTCGTCCTCGTGGAAGTAGAAAGCTTCGTCGACCTGGCTCTTCGACCATCTTACGTCGACCAGCACTTCGTGAAGGGCCTCGTACCACAACATCAGACTCTGCTTCAGTCCGTAGATGTTTTTCTTCAGCATGCGGACTCGACCTGTCCCGTCGTTCTAGAACTCGTGCTACTCCATAAAGAGAGGACAGTCAAGTTTCGCATTTAGAAATGCATTCCTCATGTCGAGTGGCATCAACTCCAAATTTCCGTTAGCCGCGTTTGACACATGCATCCGAGCAGTTCCATAGCTTCCGACGGGGGCAGATATGGCGTCGAATTCGTCAGGGGTCTGCGTGTATCCTTTGATAACAAGTCGACCCTTCTCTCGGTCGACCGTATCGTCTGGGTTGTACTTCGTCGTTAAAACCCATCGATTCTTCATCACATTGACCCCAGGCGGACGAGGTACCAGCTCCCAAGTCTCTTGGTCGTAGAGAGTCTGCATCTCTGCATCCATTGCTGCTTTGACTGCTTCACCCTTCCAGCTTCGCAGAGCTTCTGCAACTGTCATGGTCGAAATGTCCCAACGATGATCCGTGTCGACGACGCACTCGTCAGCAGAGTCGAGCTCTTTCTGTACTACATCCTCATGCTTGCTGTCAAGCGAAGTCGTTGTAAACATTGTTAGAGCTTCGCAGAAACGGATCGGCTTCTGAGTCTTTCAACCATAACGGGAAACCTGAAATGTTTCGTCTGCAGGTCCTTCTTCTGCAGGTTGCTCTTTTGCGGCATTCTCTTCTAATGCAGGCAGCTCTTCTTCGACATTTTCTTCTGCAGGCAGCTCGTCTGCAGATCGCTCTTCTGCAGATTGTTCTTCTGCAGAACGCTCTTCTGCGGATGTTTCATCTGCAGGCTGGTCAACTTCTCGACGCTCATTGGCGACGATATTCATCGGAAATTTTCTCCCCTCTTTGCCAAGGAGTGTCAACAATGGCACCAATTTTTCCTTTGAATGAAAGAACGTCGAAGAAGTGGTAGTTGACAGCTGCTCCCCTGTCGAAGAAGAGTCGGAGAGAATATTTTTATCAAAACAAATCTGGTCCGAAAGGGATAGTTGCTGTAGGAGAAAGGTCTTCTGCAGGAGGTTCTGACTATGGAGAGAGTTGCACTGGAGGGTTGTCTGAGGGAGGCTGCGATGGAGGAATCGACGTCTGCACGTGCAGAGGGGCTAGTGCCTTAACCATTTCGTCATCATCGTCCTCACCATCCGCAGGATCTGTCGGGAACGATGACACATTTTCGAGCGCAGCACAGTCGATGATGGGACTCTGCCTCGTCGCCTTCCACTCTCCAAGAGACATTGTCTTGTAGAAGATGGCTTCGATCGTGGTGATCAAACGGTTGCTCGACAGGTCAAGTACCAACCACCCCTTACTCTGCTGCGAGACACCCAAGTGGAGACCCCAACAAGCTTTCGACTCCAACTTCCCCCCTCGCTGACTCTCTGGAATGAGGTATTGTACCATACACCCCCAAA